TAAGCCGGAGTCGACCACCCTGTGTGTTATTTTTCAAAAAACATGAGATAAATTTTGATGTTGATGATTGTTTGTTTTTGTCAAAATTGGATTTTAACTTTTACAGGTTGGGGTGTTACGTTGAGACATATGTTGTGTCTACGCGTCTGTCTCTCTCTCTCTCTCTCTCTCTATCGCAGGTTGTCCCACCCTAATTGAACATGTCGCTACGTACCCCATGGTTGGCTGAGCTGGAACTGTGCGTCTTTTAAAAAGGCAGAGATGCTGATCTGGATGTGGGATGTTGTTGTTGGTGTTGTTGACTAAAATTGTTGTGACTGTTGATAAGGAAGTTAAATCTCTGTATAGTGCCTTTTTGTAAATATTGCGTTATTTATTTTCTTATTCTCCTCACCCACCCAGTGTTTTTCTTTTGTAACGTTTTTGTGCACTGTTTTTTTTTTCTTTTCTTTTAAGAAGGCTGAGTGTTTTTCGTCTAGCTATTGCAAATACTGTAAATATCACTTCACTTCAGCACGGAAGCTGTAGGGGTTGGGTGCCACTTTTTTTGTGAACTATTCGTTTTCTCCTGTTTTTGGTTAGTCAGGTAGTCAGTTCAGTCCCTCTTCTTTTTTTGTTTAGTCTTCTTTTCTTTAGGGTAGTGAGGTCCTTTGGGAATAAGTTAGACTCCGTTTGTATATTATTTTGGCCTTGGCCCAACCCTGAAGCCCATTCGCTTACTTTTGTGTGCTGACTATTACTATTGAACACAAAGAAGACTGTAAATAAATAAAGAAAACAAGCAGTCCGGTGTAAAGAATGTTTTAATTTATGTTATTCTCCTTGACCCTAGACTTGAGACGTAACATTTGTCATAAATACAGTTTACAAACTGTCGTGGGGCAGCATCATTTCCCATCTACTGCAAAGGTTTCTTTCTGTTCACCCTTCATCACACCACAGCTGTTTCCTCCAGCGAAAATGTAGCCCTTAACACATATGAACGCATACTTTATAAAACGATCATGTTGCTATTTTCATTTGAAAATGTAACTTTCGATATAAAACATATTACAGTGCATGTGGCATTAACTACCATAGTCATGCACAGAAATGATTAAAGACAGTGACAGACATAGCCTTGAGCATAGAAAGAGGTTTGTTGAGCTAAAGAACGAGGTTTGTACTAGAAATGCAAACAGTAAAATTTTGTGTTTCTACAGTAAACGTGTGTGTGTGTGTGTGTGTGTGTGTGGTTATAGTATCCGGCTCGAAGGACCATAAAATGTATTAGAGACTGTATGAATGCGTTGGTTGCTGTTACGGTACTAAATCACCTTAGAGTGTCAGTTACTACAAGTGATGTCCAGTGACCAAGAGAGTAATGAAACAGGCAGTTGTATCTCAGTTTTATCAATTTACTCTTTTAGAGGCTGAGTATCAAGAGATCAACTCCATATACTCACATACTCATGATTTAAAGAGATCACATAAGTGCAAATAAACCATCCAAATAAGGAGCGTAGGCCTACACAAATAATAACTGAAAACAAATAGTTACAACGGATTTAGACATCAAGGATACACAATCTTGCAATTATGCAGGGAGAAACAATGAGTACAACAGTCCTGGTTGATTTTCACAGTCGCAGGAAACATTCAGATGTATGGTTAACAGTGAACTTGGGCGTTGAGCTGTAGTCTCGGGTCCACTGATGCACAATATCCGATGAGAATAAATGCAAAGTTCCACAAAATGTCTATGAATGTTTGCTACTGCAAACGGATCTTGTTCGTGTGGTGTGTATAATTCTTGAGTGTGGTTCTACAATACACAAATGAAACTAATTAGTAACAGAAAGTACGAAATGTGCAATTAATGCTAACAGCTCAAAGGAAAATTGCTGAGTCACAGACAGCTCCGTAATGGCGATCGTACTCGTCACAATTAGCACAATATTTCACATAATAAACAATCATAC